GAGTTATTTCTTAGGATTGTGTGGTAGGCAGAAAAATGGCCCCTCAAAGATGTCTACATCTCATCTCTAGAACTTGTGAATACCTGTGTTACCTTATACGGTGAAAGGGATTTTGAAGGTATGATCACATGAAAGATTTTAAAATAGGGAGATGTTCCTGGAATTTGGGGGTGGGCCCAGTGTAATCATCGTGGTCCTCACAGGTGAGAGAGGGAGGTGGGAGAGTCAGAGTTGGAGAAGGAGATGTAATGCTGGAAGCAAAGTATGCATTTGCTGGCTTTGAAGATAGAAGAAGCCCATGAACTAAGAAACACAGGCAGCCTCCAGAAACTGGAAAAGTCAAGGAAAAGGATTCTCCCCCAAAGCCTCCAAAATGATACCGCATTGCCCACACCTTGATTTTTAGCTCAATGAGACCTGTTTTAGACATTTAATCTCCAAAACTATCAGATAATAAATTTATGTTGTTTTAAGCAGCTAAGTTTGTGGTATTTGTTACAGCAGCAATAGAAAACTGAAACACCAGCCGTCAGGTTTCTAAATGCCCTTCATTTTTCAATGACTCTCCATCATTATTATATCTCCAGTTTCTAGCACAATGCCAAGAACAAAAGAGACACATAATAAAAATATTTAGATTTACTTAATTGATTAGATCATTCATTCACTCATTCCTAGGAGCTTACATTTCACCCATAAGACAGGAGATTGGATCTTTCTGAAGTCTGCCAAATAGTTCATTTTCAACAGAGTTGCTCTGTAAGTCTCCACTGTGAAATGTAATATATTTTTAGGACAAAAGAGTAACTGGATATTTGAATCATTTTTAAGCAAAACTTTCAATGAAATATAAAATACATAAAGTGCACAAATCTTGAAAGAATAGCTTAATTAATTTGTAAAAGGGAACACACCCATGTAACCACTGTCCAGATCAAGAAACAGAACATTGCTACCCTGAAGTGTCCTTCTTGCCCCATCCAATTACTGATTCCTTAAAAGTAACCAATCAGGACTTCTAATGCCATAGATTAATTTTGCCTGTTTTCCAAATGTATATAACCAGAAACATACAATGTGCACTATTTTGTGTCTGGCTTACTTCAGTCAACAGTAGTTGGGTGTCATTTTCTCACCTGTTTCTACTCTCACTCTGACACCAAATGTAGGGGCTTTATTCCCCACCTAAACCAATTTTCCCACATTCTGGACACCAGCTGGGTGTCCTACAATTTAATTCAGACACTATCTGGAATTAATGCAGACCCACAGATTAGCGGTTCAATCCTACAAGACTGTCCCTACTTCAGAAGTCAGTCACAATTCCCTGTCTTCCTGTACTTCTGACAGACTGGCTTGAAGTTGGGGGATTCCCATGATCCCTGTCAGGGTTTGATAATTTGCTAGAATAGCTCACAGAACTCAGGGCAATAGTTTACTTACTATCACCAGTTTATTATAAAGGACACAACTCAGGAACAACTAAATGGAAGATATGTATAGGGCAAGGTATAGGGGAAGTGATGCAGAGTTTCTGTGGTCCCTCTGAATGTACCACTTTCCCGGCACCTTGATGTGGTCATCAACCTGGAAACTCTCTGAATCCCATTGTTTAGAGATTTTCATGGGGGTTTCATTATGCAGGTGTTTCTGGAGGCTGGAAAGTTCAAGATTAAGATGTTTGCAGATTTAGTGTCTGGTGAGAGTCTGCTTCCTGTTTTCTAGACAACTCTCTTTCTGTGTCCTCACATGACAGAAGGGCAAAGGAATTCTCTAGGTACTTTTTTTAAAAAGATTTTATTTATTTATTTATCAGAGAGAGAGAGAAAGAACACAAGCAGGGAGAGGGAGAAGCAGACTCCCTGCCAAGCAAGGAGCCTGATGTGGGACTCCATCCCAGGACACTGGGATCATGACCTTGGCTGAAAGACGCTTAACCAGCTGAGCCACCCAGGCTTCCCTCTCTAGGTACTTTTATAAGGGCATTAACACCATTCTCGAGGGCTCCATTCTTGTGACATAATCACTCCCCAAAGACCCCACCACCTAATACCATCACGTTGGGGATTATGATTTCAACATGTGAATTTTGTTTATTGAATTTAGTTCATTGCAGTAGCATGTTTGATTAAATCATTGGCCATTGGTGATTGACTTAGTCTCCTACTCTTCTGCCCCTACCCTCACCAGAGGTCAGAGGGTGAGGCTGAAAGTTCCAACTATCTAGTCATAGTTGTTCCTCTGGAAACCAGCCCCACCTGAAACTATCTAGAGGCCCACCAAATGTCACCTCACTTGCATAAACTCAGGTAGGGGTGAAAGGGCCTTATTATGAGAAACAAAGGACTCCTTTATCCCTACCTATTGGGAAATTCCAAGAGTTTTAGAGACCCTCATGCCAGGAACCTGGACAAAGACTAAGTATATATTTCTTATTAGATCCCAAATCACACATTTACATTGTGTGTAGAAGTCTATTCATTTTCATTACTGAATTCTATTTTATGAAATATTAAAATTTATTTACTTATCCTTTATATTTTTAAGGGACATATGGGTTGTAACCAGTATGTAGAACAATGCCTGATGAACATTCTTTACTTGCATTTTTGATAGTCCTATATCCATTAATAGAACTCCTGGGTCACTGGGTGTTCTCATGTTCCAACTGTATAGAAAAACCAAATGGCTTGTTAAAATGTTTGCACCAATATATAGTCTCAATGGTGGTGAATGAGACTCCCAATTGATGCATATCTATACCAACTCTTAGGATTATTATTTTTTTTACATTTTAGCAGTCTGGTAGGTATATAATGTAACTTATCATGCTATTAATTCTTATTACTCTGATAAATAATTAAATTGAGGGTCTTTTCATATATTTTAGGCCTCTTTTATGGTACTTCCTGACCATTTTTTCTATTAGAATAGCTACCTTTTTCTTATTGATTTTCAAGAGTTCTTTATATATTCTGGATATCATGGATATGAAGCCTTGGTTGGATGTATGTATTATAAATGCTGTCACTCTTTCTGTGGCTTGCCTTACACTCTCTAATGGGTGTCATTTGATGAACAGAGTAGCAGTCCAATTTATTGATTTGTTTTATATTCATGGTTTTCTCCTATTTAAGAAATGTCAAATATTTCAAATCCATGATGATTTTCACCATTTTCTTTCTAAAAACTATCATTTCACTATCCACCTTTAAATTTATAACCCATCTCATTAAGATTTTTGCTATACAAATATTTGTCTGATCCAACACCAGTCATTTAAAAAAAATTCCTCTTATCTTCTGTAATAATGTTATTTTTAATCATAAAACAAGAGATTGTAGGGGCACCTGGGTGGCTTAATCGGCTGAGCATCTAACTCTGATTTTGGCTCAGGTCATGAACTCAGGATCATGAGATCAAGCCCGGCAATGGGCTCCACACTGGGCATGGATCCTGCTTAAGACTCTCTCTGTCTCTCCCTCTGCACCTCCCCTGCCTCCTACTGGCATGCGTGTGGGTGTGCACTATCTCTAACGAACAAAAAACCAAAAAAAACCCAAAACAAGCAAGAGATTGTATATGGTAGCTTTATTTCTAAATGACTTTCCCTTCTGATCTTTTTATATATTTGTGTATTCCTATATAAATGCCACATAGTCTTAATTACCATAGCTTTTTTTATCTGCGAATCTTCAACAAGATAAATTTATTTGGTTAGATGCATTTTCCTTTTTTTTAAATTATGTTCAGTTAGCCACTGTATAGTACATCATTAGTTTTTGATGTAGTGTTCAGTGATTCATTAGTTACGTGTAACACCCAGTGCTCATCCCTGCACATGCTCTCCTTAATACCCATCACCCTGTTACTCCCTCTCTACCATGTTTTTTTTAAAATAAGTCTTAATACCTGGTTGTATAGGTATTTCAGCTTCATTCCTTATCCTCAAGATCATTTTGGAAAAACCTGGCTTTCAATTTTATATGTTAAAGCTTTTCACCATATTCCATATTTACGTTATTTGTTCTATTTGTCATTTTGTTGTTGTTGTTGCCTGTTTTATTTTTTTAAGATTTTATGTATTTATTTGAGAGAGAGAGAAAGAGGAAGAGAGAGGAGGAGCTCTCTCCATGCTGAACACAAAGCCAGACGTGGGGCTCGATCTCACGACCCTGAAGTCATGACTTGAGCCAAAACCAAGAGTCGGACGCTTAACCGAGACTACCCAGGCACCCCTGTTCCCTGTGTTTTAGCCAAATACATTTTACAAACTTGTCCTAGTGAACTAAACCTCTATTCTGTTGTGTTAAATCTGATACCAGATTCATCCTTCGAGTTTGGAATGCAATTTTAAAAAATCTACCATTCTCATTTGATTCTTTTCAAAAATGAATCCCAACTTGTTTAGTAAAATTCTTTATCTTTTCAATTATTTCTTGAATATGCTATTCACAATTATAGCCCATTTCTTGATAACTCCAGTAAGTCATGTTATTATGATGGTATCTTTTGTCAGAGAGGGCCCACTATTACCTGTAGACAGAGAAAGTGGGAACAGGGCACCTTCATCTAGTTTGGGACTGACCTGACACACACAGTTAGGTTGTAGTTTTTACAAAGTGTTGTCTTCTTCATAAGTCCCCACCAAAAGTTTCAACTTGGCTGTCCTAAACAATTTGTCTCTTCACTCATCATTGAAAGACTACTGTAAATTCTCTTCTGCTTTAAAAAAACTACCAACGGTCATGCCGACTTCTCTGCACTTCCTTTCTTACTAGGATCTTTTCCCTTCAATTTCTGCCTTCCTTGGCAACCTAGAATTCCTTTCTTCTTCACCCTCTGGACCACTGGAAAATTGCAGAAAACTCCAATGGCTTCTCTCCATTTTAGTGGTGGCCCTCTGTTACAATTCCTGACATTTTACCAGGTCAGTAGTTGGCAAATGCCCTGAAGAAAAGATACTTACTGCTTGCAGCCTTATCTCTTCACCATTTTGTGCTTTGTGGTTTCCTTCTCTCTGAGATCACATATATGTCATATACCATATACCATCTTGTTTCTTGAGTTGTTCGTGGCAGGAACATTGTTCTTCTCTAAAACAACTCCACTGTACCTGGAAGTGGAAGTTGTTATCTGAAAGATATTTGATATCAATAAATTAGGTGAATAAACAAAAATAACTTAGCTGAGTGACATTCTTACATGAAATTATTAGAAAGAATTTACACGTTCCTTCCTGTCCTATCTCCGCAGAATTATAAAAAAAAGAGGTAGTAGTTACTAGACTATAGGAAGTATTCGTCCAGTAGTTAGAAAGAGCATAAAAATACTTCCCCAAAATGCAGATCATTAAGCTTTCATTTCAGTCCTCCTTAAAATTCACATATGGATTATAAATTGTTTTCCTTCTCTTGTAAAAGGTAAGGCCTAGAATTCAGCCTAAGTTCACTAAGGACAGGCTATGTCACAGAGAACTCATTTCCTTTTTAATAGCCTGACCACACAGGTAGAAAAATAGAAGTTCTATGGTCATGCTATAGCCTTAGAATAACCAGATTAAATCAAAACAATTCTCATAATGACTTTTTGGACATGTATGATATAATTAACTATAAAATAATTTGTCCTGATTGAATTCTAGCCAGAGTGTGGATTAACAGAGCTGAATATCAACCTATCCTGCAGTGTCCAGAGACATGATTTTGCCCAATCTTATTCAACAAATTTGTCAGTTACTTTACTACAGCTTAGAAGGCATGTTCTCTACATATTTCAGTGATATGAAACTTAGAAATCTGGTTAATTCAGTATGAGAAAATCAGGATTCTAAAAGTTTTTTCTTTTTTTTTTTTAATATTTTTTTTAAGATTTTATTTATCAGAGAGAGAGAGAGAGACAGAGGCAGGCAGAGGGAGAAGCAGACCCCCTGCCGAGCAGGGAGCCCGATGTGGGACTCGATCCCGGGACTCCAGGATCATGACCTGAGCCGAAGGCAGTCGCTTAACCGACTGAGCCACCCAGGCGCCCTATTTATTCATTTACCTGAGAGAGTGAGAGAGAGAGAGAGAGAGCACATGAGAGGGGGGAGGGTCAGAGGGAGAAGCAGACTCCCCGCTGAGCAGGGAGCCCGATGCGGGACTCGATCCCAGGACCCTGGGATCATGACCTGAGCCGAAGGCAGTCGCTTAACCAACTGAGCCACCCAGGCGTCCCTCTAAAAGTTTTCTAAAGATGTAAACAGCAAGACATAAATTAAGAATTAAGAAAATGTGAACCTACATTTAAAAAAATAATTGAGTATGTATAAAATGGGTATTTTTATAAGAATGAGCATCACATTTTTATTAGAGAAGTCCAAAATAATTTGAAAGACACTGGTGTGACGGTAACGTAAGGCCAGGAGAATGAAAGTTATAGGTCATATCTGCCTGCCCTATCTGCCCTGATCCGGATATCAGATTCTAATAGAGACACTAGCAAAGTGTGGTACATCTAGAAAAGAATGACAGGGAACACGGTCAGGAATTATTGAAAAATTTGGGAGATTTTTGCTTAGAGATGATTTGGAATTATAAATCCTATTTGCCCATTTGACAGTGTTTCTATTTGAAAATTGAGAGAATATAGAACTGTGATGAGAAAGGAGATAGACTTATAAAGAGTCAAATTTGACAGGAAAATGAAGTTATAGAATGCATGTCTTAACTTGCTGTAAGGTACAACTTTTTACTAAATACAGATGTTCAAAACTGAATGGGCTATCTTGTGATGGTGAGCATTTATTCCTTTATTGCTAATTCACTTACAATTCAATAGCTACTGAATGCTCATGCTGTGTCAAGATTGTGCAAATATTGGAGAAAAGAATAACTAGAAATTCTACGTTCTCCCCACAAGCTCATCACTTAGTAGGAATGGAGTGGGTGTGGGAGATAAAATGATAGATAGAAAATAATTATAATAGAATGTAAAAGATGCTATGGTAATTGTTTTCAGCAGGCCATACGAGTGGATAGAATTACCAATTCTATCCCAGGAATAAGGGAATATCTAGGAAAGTTTCATTACAATAAAAAAATATTAGCTAAGACTGGCCAGTTTTTTTCTTTGTGAAGTTCTGTAACAAAAGCTTTGCACATGTTCTTTGATCTAATCTTTCAAGACCATCCTGTATTCTATTACTTTTCTCATTTTCTAGACTAGGAAACTGATGTACAGTAAGGCTCTGTAACTTTGCCAGGGTTACCCAACTACTAAGTGGTAGAATTGAATCATCAACTGAGGAAATTTCATTCCAGGAACAATATTCTCTTTTTTTCCATCTATTTTAATGTCTATTTATTTGATATGCCGAACTTTAAAAATCAAGTTGATAATGACCTCACAGATTACTAAAGCATGTTCTGAGTATATATTACATCTTACTATTGTTTGTTAACCCTTTAATAGTGGTATGTGTATCAGTTTTATCTCCCCAACTTGAGTATACATCTATTTGGTTTTTTCTTAAGTTTTTATTTTAATTCCAGTTAGTTAACACACAGTGTTATATTAGTTTCATGTGTATAGTGGTTCAACACTTTCATACATCGCCCTGGCTCATCACAAGTTCACTCCTTAATCCCCATCACCTATTTATCTATCCCATCCCCACCCACCTCCCCCCTGGTAACCATCAGTTTGTTCTCTAGAGTTAAGAATCTGTTTCTTGGTTTGCCTCTCACTGTTTTTCCCCCTGTGTTCATTTGTTTTGCTTCTTAAATTTCACATGAGTGAAATCATATGGGCTTTGTCTTTCTCTAATGACTTATTTTGCTTCGCATTACACTCTCTGGATCCATCCATGTTGTTGCAAATGGCAAGATTTCATTCTTTTTTATGGCTGAGTAATATTCCATTACACACACACACACACACACACACACACCCCACATCTTTATCCATTCATCTATCAGTGGACACTTGGGCTGTTTTCATACCTTGGCTATTGTAGATAATGCTGCTATAAACATCAGGGTGCATGTATCCCTTTGAATGAGTGTTCCTGTATTCTTCGGGTAAATACCCAGTAGTACAATTGCTGAATCATAAGGTAGTTCTATTTTTAACATCTTGATGAATCTCAGGGGCAACATTCTTAACCAATGTTTTCCAAACTTTGTCACAACCAATTTGTGAGCTATATTATATTATACATGGTAAGGATAAATATATTTTTTAAAGATTTTATTTATTTATTTGAGAGAGAATGAGAGAGAGCACATGAGAGGGGGGAGGGTCAGAGGGAGAAGCAGACTCCCTGCTGAACAGGGAGCCCGATGCGGGACTCGATCCCGGGACTCCAAGATCATGACCTGAGCCGAAGGCAGTCGCTTAACCAACTGAGCCACCCAGGCGCCCGGTAAGGATAAATATTTTTGAGAGAGTCTTGTTTTAGTTATGTGAGTGTCCGTACCGGTGTCTACATGTGCGCACATGCATGCTAAGTTGCAAAATAAAATGCATTTCTCCTAGTCGTACATCAGGGATCAACAAATGACTCCAAAATGTAGTGGATTCAAATTGCAGTGTTTATTTATTACCTCCCAGTTTCTGTAAGTCAGAAATCAGGCATGGTTTAGCCGGATCCCCCAACTCTGGGTCTCTCACAAGACTGCTGTTCTCTTCAGTCTCCACTGGAGGTATTTGTGTCCCAGTTCACTCACCTGGTTGTTGGCAGGATTCAGTTTCTTCTAGGCTGTTGGACCGGAGCCGTAGTTCCTTACACATGGTTGGCTGGAGGCCTCCAGCTTCCTGCCACATGGGCCTCTCCACAGAGCACCTCCCAGCATGGCATCTTGTCTCACACAGCCAGCGGCAGGATAAGAGGGCCGGGGAGAGCTTCAGTGCAACAGAGCTTGCAAGATGGAAGTCATAGTCTTCTGAAAACTCATCACAGAAGTGACATCCTACTGTTGTTGTCATATTCTATTTGTGAGAAGGTGGTTACTAAGTCCAGGCCACATTCAGGGCAGAGGAATCCACACAGGCATGCATTCCAGGAGGAGGGTATCATTGAAAGTCTTGCCAGAAGTTGACTAACAAAGCAGGCTCTAGTCAGTGAGTATTACACACCTTGTTTCCCTTGGACTTGCATAACTCAAGGAGCTGTGTGGAAGTCGTTTATGGGGGGAGGTCAAAGATGAGCACAGAGAAGCTTCACTACCCTCTTCTTCTAAACTCTTAAAATCTGGGTCCTTTCCCCACCACTTTGGTAATGATCAGTGACATTTCTAACATGGAATAATAGTATAAACAACATGGCAGGTACTGTTCTAAATGTCCTACAAATACTTTAGCTCATTTAATCTTCTCTAAGTACCCTATGGCTTAGGTAGTATTATGATGATCTTCATCTTGTGGATGAAGAAATTGACACACAGAGCAGGCAGAGTTACTGAGTCATGAGATGGGGCTTGAACTTAATAAGCAGTTGATTCCAGAGAAAAGGCTCTTAGTCACTATGTATATTATGAGGTCTCCCACTGAATCTCCTAAAAGCTACGCCCACTGCCTCTTCTCCATCTCTTTTTACCTTTCTGCTGTATTTGTTCTGCAGACAACCCAACATTTCTTGATATTGTCATTTCTTTGTTTTCAGAACACTACAATATCATGACTGTAGATCAGACAATTCCTTCCACTGACACCAAATTGTGATTGAATCATGGCATGTATGCAGTTTGTCTCCCCTATTAGATTTTAAGCCATTTACAGGTTGGCATCAGTTAAAATAATCTGTTGCAGTCGGTAGAGTGAGCGCATAATAATAACTGGTTGACTAACTTTAGAACCATTCAATTTATACTGAACGTAGGAATTATGCTTGTATGTATTCACTCAACAAAAAGGTTAAGCAGCCTCTCTGTATCAGGCACTGTTCTAAGTGTTGGGTAAAGAGTAAAGAACAAATTAGACAAAACTCAGCTCTCGTGGAACTTACATTCTACTCAGATGAGTTTAAGATAAGTGAATGAAATACAAGAAATGGATTCTGACTGGCTCGCCTAAATGTACACCCAAATGCTAGGAAGCAATAAACACACAAATCACCCAAGATACGGTTGTCAGAGTAAATTGGAGCAGAATCTTGT